GTGTGCGCGTGTGTCTCTATATATACATATACATATACATATACAAAAAACATATACATGTACATATACATGTACATATACATGTTTATGTACACATACATATACATATACATATATATATATACATACATACATACATACATACATACATACATACATATATATATATATACATTTGTATATACATATACATATGTATATATATGTATATATATTTATTTACTTATTTATCTGTTTTTTTACCTGTCTATTTATTTCTGCAGATTGTAGATTTGGGCGCATTTGTTCTGCATTTTCTTTACTGACTGACTGACTTACTTACTTATATACATACGTTCCGACTCTTGTCAGCCCTGACCCAAGAGGTTGAGGGCTTGGCTTTGTTCCGAGTCCACGGCTGGAAGTCCGAACCCTGCAACCCCAAACCCTGAACCAACACCAAGCAAACCCTAATGTAGACCCCTCATAGATTACCTATCTAGAACGGGCCAGACAGACTAGGGACCCGTGTTTACGCAGGCGGTGCTTGAACAAGAGTCTGCATTTTATGCTATAAAGCCCCACTTCCCAGGTGGCGTCTCAGAAGACCTGTTTGCAGCCGGGCCGCGTGTGAGCATAGAGAGCCTGGGCGGTCGTTGACAGCGGCTGGATAGGGGCTTCTTCAAGTCAGGAGTAGCGCATGTTGGGGTCCTTACAAGCTCAGGGGGTCGGCGCACATGCTCGGGACCATTCAGGTGAGACAAGTACGCGGACCTGGGTGGCTGAGTTCCATGATTTGGATTAAGTTACTATAATCATGATGGGGATCTATCGCGAATGACATGGTGGCCGAATGTTGGAAACTACAGGTTACAATTCCTGAACAATAACCCAGGTGTTGAGGGTAATGAAACATTTGGTTGGAAGCCTGGGCGAAGTCCGCAGCGGCAAGCAAGAACGAAGAACCACTCCCAAGCCTCTGCCACTTTGCGGCACAAGGTTTCGAACTGCAGATCCCAGCCCACATTGCCGAGAAAACCCTTAAACTTAAACCCTAGCTTAGACCCCAAACTCTTAACCCTGGCCCCTAAACCCTAAACCCTAAACCCTTAACCCAGGGCCTAAGCGCAAATCCCTAAAACCTCAGACCCTGAGCACTGACTCTAAACCGCCCCTCGGCTGAAAAAGGCCGGGTGCACCTCTTCTTCGGTCTGATCCTCCCCGGCACCCGAAGGCTCAGAGACACTTCATTAAGGTTTAGGGTTTAGGGTTTAGGATTTCGACTCGCACGCTCGCACTGGGCAGGCACGGATTCATGGGTCGTATACTACTGTGACATTGTAGGGTAAGAAAAGCAACAGGAGCCGGCGATACATCATGTACGGACCTAAAACCATGTACGATGCACCACCCAAACCTATCCGCTTCACGCATCACTGGGTAGCCTGGGCAACTACAAAAAAAATCAACATAAACACAGTAGATACGAACTTACGAAGCTAAGCACGCTATCACCCAGGGTTTAGGGTTTACGGTTTGGGGTTCAGAGTTTGCGGTTTAGGGGGTCCCTGCAACAGGTATCCTGTACTGGTGTTTACATAGCAGGGTCCTTATAAAAGGTATCCTACATCCTCAAAAGTAGGCATCCTAGTTGGTCAGTCTTCGGGTTCAGCCGTCCTACCAACTTAAAGCCCAGGGGTCGTATCCATGTGATTGAAGCGACCGCTTTCGATCATGCTGATGCTTTCCGAATCGAAGGGTTTCGGAGTGTTGTTCGTTTGGGGAAGTGTGCCACTGTTCAATGTTTATAGTCCCGGTCGGGGTGACTGAAGACACAGCTCCCGGTCAGGGAAACTGGAGACAACAGCGGATCCATACTCACCGTCAAAAATGTTACAGCACGTGTCACAATGCCATCATCACCATTGGCATCGCTGTCGGCAGCTTTCTTCACTATCATGAAACCGCAAACCCTAAACCCCTTTAACCCTTAGCCCTAAAACCCTACACCTTAAACCCCTAAACGGTGTAGGAAAGGCAAGCATCACCCTAAACCCTAAACCCTAAACCCTAAGCCCTAAACCACCGGGTCCTGATTGCCATCGTCATCGTCGGGCTCAGAGATGACGCCTGAGAAGCGGAGGGCAGAGAGCCGGCAGATGCCAGCTGCTACAAAGCTTTCGGGTTTCGGGTTTTTTTGCCTCCTACTTAGGGCTTAGTTTTTAGGGTTTAGGGTTTAGGGTTTAGGGGTTTAGGGTTTAGGGGATTGGGGTTGCCGCTTGGCTTTCAGGGTTCCCGAAGACCCCGGCAAGGTCCGCCTCAAAGGAGCTCGATACTGTACTCCTTCATGAAACGACTTCAGGCTGTCTGAAAACTCTCTGAAAACTCGATCAATGGCAAGGGCCTGTCAGCCTTGTGGGGTTGTCGGATCGCCAAGTGACTGAAGTCATCGCGCATAAGCGGAGACATACCAATGTCGCTTGGATCCTGCATCAGGGTCTAGGGCTTCAGGGTGCGAAGGCCTAGGGCCTGGCGTTGCAAAGCCATAGAGCCATAGAGCCTCTAGACTGGTCTTCGGATGCCTTCAGGGTCGCAAGATTCTTCAGGCTTTACGCTCTCACAACTCGGACAATGCCAGATGCGGTCTCTCGGTTCGCAGTCGGTAATCAATCGGATCCAAGCAGTAGCAGGCTCAAGAATGCCGAAGACGTCTAGAGTATCAACCAAGTGCATTCAGAAAAGCAAATGTCTCCTGCGCGCCCGCATGAGATTTTGTTCGTCACGGCCAGCTGTTCACTGATGCCGATCCCTTCCGCACGCACGGTCTCCAACCACACGGACGAAAGCAGAAGCACTTGTCGCCTCTGTCATATAAGTGTGTCCAGTAGCTTGGGCAGTGCAACAAATTACGCAAAAGACAGCTGACATCGCAGCACTGTTTGGAATGCAAGTTGTGGATGTTCTCCATGCTCAGCAGACAGCGTCGGACTCTGATGATTCCGACGACTCAGTCATGCGGGCAGCTGCGGAATACTTCTTAATGGGGCTGTGGTACGTCTCACCGTGAGTGTGCTCGTCAACACCACCAATCTCCTGGTCTTCTGGAATTCGAAGTTTGAACAGCATCTTCATGACTCCCATGATGATGGCAGTGCCCACGGCAGAGAAAGCCACACCGGCCAGCGCTCCAGCAATCTGCTTGCCCAACAGCAGGAAGCTACCACTGTAGATGAGGCCGTCGTCAACTGCGAAAATGCCCGTCAAAATGGCGCCGGCAAAGCCGCCAGAGCCGTGCAAGCCGAAGGCGTCAAGAGTGTCATCCACCAAGTTGATCCTGTTCACCAACTCACAAGTAGCGTAACACCAAGGCGCGCCCAACACGCCAAGGGCAATGCTCCAGCCAGGTGTCACAAAGCCGGCTGCGGGTGTGATGACCACCAGACCTGGCTCACGTGGGCACAAATCCTTCAACTTCCACGTGACATGCTTTGCGAGGAACAGAATTGCGGCATGTGTTGTGCGATGCGTGCATGTTTAACGTCTACTCAGATGAAAGGGTTCTCAGCGTGAAGATCCCTGACGCCAATGACTCACTGCGAATTAGCGAACCTGCCACCCTCTTAGGTCTTAGCTTCTTCCACCGTAATGATGCCCGGCCTGCAACAGCACCGACCGAAGCACCCACACTGGTTGACTTGCCCTTCAGGACACGCTCAAGCGCCAGCCAGGTCAGCATGGAGGAAGCCGCAGCCACGAAAGTGGTGGCCACCGCACGAGCTGCCACTCCGTCTGTGGTGGACAGAGCAGAGCCACCGTTGAATCCCAACCAGCCAAACCAAAGGAGGCAGCCACCCAAGATCACGAAGGGGGCGTTGGCTGGGCCCAGGTCCTTCTCAACGTGCTTGCGTGGGCCAAGGATTGCACCGGCAACGAGGCCGGACACACCTGAGCTGATGTGGACCACTGTTCCACCAGCAAAGTCGAGGGCTCCCAGCTGGCTGCCAATCCAGCCGCCAGGACCCCAAACCCAGTGGCACAAAGGTGCGTAGATCAGAAGGGACCACAGGGCCAGCATGATGCAGTAAGCACTGAAGCGCACACGCTCCACCAAGGATCCGGAGATGATGGCACTAGCGATAATGGCGAACGTCATCTGGAAAGAAGCGAAGACGAGACCTGGAAGGGTGTCCCAGTTCTTCATATCAAGGTTCGTCCAGAAGCTGTAGTCAAAGTT